ATGTCATTGATGTTGCTTGCTTGTGTTGTTTTTTGAAGATAACACGAGCATACTCGTAGAGCTCTAGATCAAGGTTGTTAAGTGTTCTTATTTGCTGGATAACTGAGTCACGAACTTGACGACGTGCCTGCAAAAGATATGCGTGTAAAAAAAAAAAAATCCAACCCAACAAAGGCTCACTAAGACTGTACGTTATAGTGAAATGGGAAGCGAGGCATCTTTGGATGATAAAAGGCAGGATGACATAACCCATTCAGTACAAAGTTGCAACATGTTTGAGATTTAAATTATACCTCCTTCGAAAAATTTGCAGGAGAGATTCTCATTAAAGAGTTGGTTCGTCGACGTGCTTGTGTCTTCCTCAAGCTAGAAATGCAAGTTCCATAGAGTTCCATAAGTTGCTCAACGGTCATCTCAGTTATCTAATGTGGTAAAAAAGAGTATAAAAACCTTGTCAAACCACCAAGAACAAGATTGTCTCAATATAATTGTATAATAAGACCGACACGTAATATTATCTAAAACTACCTACATTTTCACTCTTCTCTGCAGTATTTTCTGTTGAGGCAATCTGAGTGGCCTTGTTGGCCGAGGTATTACTCTGTCGTTCAACAAAGTAGAAACAGTAAAGCCTAAGAATATCGTCCCAGGTGATACTGGACTTAAAACGTAACAGTTGCACGCTGCTTACCTGATTATCGATATTATCTGGTTCAGAATCAGAAAATGAAGAGCTCTGTTCTGTAGCAGAAGATATCAAGAAATTTTTCTACATTAAGAAATTCCTCTTCGTTTCTAAGCAAAATCATCCAACCAAAAGTACAAGGGGAGGTGTACGAAAGATGAAGCTAAAAATAGGTACTATACTCCATCTAATGCAAGGGAAAGAAAAATGTCTCACAAAAAATTTGTTAAACAGAGGGATAAGGATGAAAAGGATGAAAGCTTGCATGTTGACCTGACTTGCTAATACGACCCCTCTCTGTAGTAGAGTTTGATGCTACCAACTGCGAAATCACCTGTGCGCCAACCACATTTGCAAACATTGTTGCAGATTCTCTATGGTCCTCAGTGATACCAACGTATAACATATTGTCCAACCTCCTCTGCAAGATTCACAACTATCTAGCATGATTGCAAAAATATGTAAAGAAAAGAAGAAATCAGGTAAATGTTGTTTTCCGTACAATCTTGTTCACAATATACATACCCATCTTAATTACCTTTGCAACTCGAAGCACATGTTGACCAAGAATCTTATATTTCTGTACACAGTGACGCACTTCATGTGATTCTGGTAGATAAGAGTTGTTCGTCAATCCTGCAATCTATGGATTGAATAAGTAGAGAAGAAATTTAGCAAAAAACTTGCTAGAAACTTATGATAGGGCTGACATTTTTCATATAGTTTATTATGCACCCGACAAGAGATTTTATCCTAATGATCAAGAACACATTATGCATGCTGGGCCACTGCTAAAACCAAGAATTGCCCATTGCCCAGTCACATGAGAGTGCTTTTGACCAAGTGAATTTGTCAAAATTAGACTTGCATAATAATTTCCCGAGAACTTAAATAATATTGGCATTATTGTTTTCCCAATCCTGATTGGATGATTCTTCGCTATCATAACCGGGAATATGGGATATCATCACCACTCAAGCGTTCATGATGCTGGTCATGTACATAATTCAAGTAGGCACCTTAACACTAATATCATTCTTTTAGAATTGCTTCATCACAGGTCACATATACAAGCAGGAGGTTAGTTTATTCTGGAGACGCATGACAAAAGGGTTTTTCCAAAAACTCTAGGATCATTTGCTGTTTACAGAAGCACCTACTTTAAATTGAATGAATGAATGACCAAAGAGCAGTTAATTACTAGTGGTGTGCAACATAGCAAAAAGGAGGGTTAAGAAATATTAGAATTGATGCTTACAATCTGAGCAAAAGAAACTAGAACGAATAAATGCATGAAAATGAAACGCAGCAGATCAAGCACAAACAAAGCGGGGGCCATTCAATTTTATTTTTCTTCCCAATTTCAGTCAAAGTTGGAAATGGCAATAACCCATCACTAGATTCAATTGGCTGGCAAACGTGTCACTTGAACAAGTGGTCTTTACTTAAACTCTTAAGAATGGCGGGCTCGGGCAATTCTATCTATTATCTGACAGAAATGCTAATGTGGTTCTACAGCTATTTGCTTCAATAAAGCATATCCGTAACTTGTGCTTCTAAAACACAGGATAAACTAAACAATAATTCATGACCAGCTGCACACCATAATGAAATCCACAGAATAGTACCTGAAATGTTGCTCCGTTGTGAACAATGTCATGAGCTACAGGGTCATTAATGTATTTATCCAATGGCATAGCCATTTCTTGCATGTTGTATGGATCCTTGCTCTCAATATGATCTATGCCCCTAAGCTTTCGGGCATCTCGCTGTCCACAAAAATGGAAACAAAAATAAGAATGTTGCACTAAGAGAAACAATGAGCAAGTTCATGAAACTCTCTCCAGGAAGTCAAAAAAATTGATCAAGAACCATGTTCACGTATGAATAATAACTTTACAATGGATCCTGTCAGATGAGACTGTACCATGTTCGTGTCTGCAGGGTTAAGAGAGAGAAGAAAAGAATAAACTATTCATAGATATCACAGTTTGCTCATAATTTTAAGTTAACAAACATGCAACATCCTTCATGGTAACATGATGATGGGACTTTCTGAGTTTCAATGTACTGTACGTGTGCATTTCAGTCTGTGCTCATGGTTGCAACTTTGCATTTCAGTGTCCGTGCATCCATGAAAGATCTGTATTGGCTTAGTAAATCATTTCACTGAAAGAATTCTTTTGGCATTTAAGAGCCTTTTAGACTAAATTCATGGAATAATCTGAGAATTATAAATTCATATTAATGCTTATCAAGTTGCAAAATATAAGGTGGCTACATATGCTACTATTCTTTCAACTCTACCAGAATGCAGAGTCATCTTTTATCCCAACACTATCTGTTGTCCATGATCTTACTGCTTCCCAAAAGTCTAACCAAGATCAGACATTTGCATTAAAGGAACATATTGCTTATGCTCACGCTTTCTTATACTTGAATAAATCAATTACCCAATTCAGAGCTCTTAATCACTTCAACTTGCCTTCCCCTTCACAGTTTTGGATCAAAAAAACCACCAAGAGAAAGTAAGAAGAAATCTACATTTTTTTTAGATAAAAAGTAAAAATTGTATAAAGGAACCAGAAATCTATTAAATTCACTTCATCCTAATATCTACCTCGTTGACTTCTATTACTATACAAGTGCACAAGTGTTTGATTATACTTGTCCACCTGCAGGAAACAAAAATATGGCTCACAAATCCAACATGTAAACAAATGTTTTTCCAGGCGTATAAATGCGCACTTACCATCATAAGAGAAGGCAATACCCATTGTGCAAATGAGTCACCAAGGGAGTAGAAAAGCAGAAATGTTAAAATTGTTAACTGTTATTTCAAGACTCGTACAGTCGATTGCCTTTCTTTTAGCTGACGGAAAAACTGTAAGTGCTAACTTCAAGCTATTTGAGTCTTGATATAGAAGTCCCTATTAGCCCAATGGTTGTGGAGATTCATGTATGACAGGCAGGTGCGTGTATTCAGGGCCGAATATGGCCTGGTTAGGTGAGGTTGGAGGACCGGTAGAAATAGAGGAACACATGAAAACTAGTGTATGGAGGTGTATTACTCGGGATTGGAGTCTAGTGGCTGACCTTGTTCATTTTGGGATTGACACCGTCGCTTTTTACATTTATGAGAGGATTGTTCATGTGGCGAAAGGCCCTTCAAAGACCACTTTTCTAGTATTTTGAATCTGATCAGAGACAGAGGCCTTGGTGAGTGATTACTTTGGAATTTAATGCTTGATATCCAATTGGAATATTTAACTTTCAATTGGAAACTAGATGATCTCGTTTCTTTGATGGCTATCTTAGCCCTAGTCAAGACCAGTCCAGGTAAGAGGACTATTCCTTTATGGTCTATGTCAAAGAGAGGATGTTGATGGCGAAGTCTTTCGATCTTTTGTCTTAATAGCATCTTGTTTTCACTACCTGTGAGAGCAAACTGGGAAGAGGAAGCCTTCCCTTGTACAACATTTTTTTCTAGGAAAGCTGCTTACGGAAAGATTCCCTCTTTGTCTTTTTTTTTTCTTCTTGAAAGACTGCTTTTGGAAAGATTCTTACCCCTGACAATTTGATCAACAAGGCAGAAATTTGGTCAATGATACACTAGCTTCATGAAGGGGAATCCCCCAATCATCCTCTTTTCTTGTGTTGGGAACCAGAAGGTTGAAGGACTCTATCCTTTGCCACATCACGTCTTGGGTTGTTAGTGGCACAATTTTATATGAGATTTGGGCTTGGAATGTTCTTTGAAGCAGAAAGTCTAAGAAGAATCTACTTTCCTCATCCCATTGGCCACTACAGATGTTATTTGGAAAGAAAGTAAGAGAAAAAATTTTAGGGCATTTGTCTCCTTTTTGATAGAATTAGAAAATCACTACAACTTATCTATTTTGGTTAAAGGTCATCCTCTCTTTGTTAGAGATGATCTTACGAAGATCAATTATATTTTGTCTGCCAATCATTGTAAGTTTGTCTTTTGTACATAGTGCCACTCACTTGGTCCCCTGTTTCTAATACATCTGTTTTAATCTCAACAAATAACAAAGAATTTTGACATTGAAGGAACAATGTGCCTATAAGAATATGTTGGTAAAGGAAAAGAAAAGTCACAACTGGTACCATGTATCATTTGAAAAGCATTGGTCCACGGATTAGCTGTTCACACTAAGCTCGCTAAAACTAACCAAGATGCCTTCTCACTCTGATTGATTAAAGATGACTCATAAGTTTCCCTAAATTATTGAATGGAAATAGTACCAAGTTAAGCAATTAATGGCAACTACCTCTCTCCATACAAGTGTGGCAACCCTTTGGTGTCTTTATCTTATCGACCTTCCTGTTTCCTCTAAAAGAAAACCTATATTAATCCTCTTTCCATTGTCTATGATTCGAGGTTATGTTATATATAACAGGCCTTCTGCTTTTTTGTTCATTTAGCTCATAAATGATACAATAAATGAATGATCCTTCAAATGATAAAAATTGGAGCAAATAAGTATAAAATATAAGCACTTAAACCCAGAAAGAGGTACCAGATAGCATCCAATAGTTCAGTAACATTTAGCTATAGATCACAAGACAAAACATACCCGGACAAATAGGTCTTCTCTCATCCATGGAACTAGATACTTCCACGGCCATATATCCAATGTGCTTACTCCAGTTGTCTTGGACCGTATTCGACCAGCCATTTGTGTAGCAGAAGTTAAGTTAGGGTGCACCAAAAACCTAGCAGCCACTTCTATTGAAAATTCATAAGTACTAAATACACGATCAGTAGGATCTCTAAGTATTGTCACGACTGATGTTTTCTCCCTGGGAAGTTTGGATATCAGACTATAGTCATCATGTGTAACCAACAGCCTGCACTTCTGTTTGCTGCATGAAGTGAAACTAGACAAATTAAGGTTCTTTTTTAAAACCAAATACAGAAAAGGCCAAAAGATATTTTTACAACTAAAACATGAATCTTGTAAAGTGAAACTAGTTTCTTTTTTATTGTCTCTCTCTCTCTTTTCTGTATAGGGGAGAGGGATTGGCTTGGGATAGCCAAGTAGGTTCATGGTTTTGAATTAACATGATACATGATTCCCATAAAGTATAACTTAATCCTAGCAACAATGTAAGCAAACATGACGTTTAAAACTGCTAAGATGAGGAAAAGAGAACAAAGAATCACATTCACTAATATTTTTATTCAGAATGTACGTTTACAGTACGTTTGGAATAAATGAATTTCTCAAAAGGTGCGGAACTCATTTGCAAATCCACCCTCTACAAATCATTTCATACTCTTTTGTTGAATTAATTTGTTCAAACATAGTGTAAAACAAGTTGAGCCTAAGAGTTTAAAATAATTGTTTAAGACTCTCTTCTGATTTATTACCAAGCGCCAACATAAAGAACCAACTAGATAGACAAATATCATTCCTATTTTTCATCTAAATAAGAATCTACTGAGGAAACAAAGATAGAAGAAAGCTCAAGCAACCAGGAGAGCAAGTTATTTTATGGGGAAAAAGCTCCTGGAAGAAACTGATGGGAAAAAAAGAGAAACAAATCAAAAAAGGCTATAGATTACAGTTCATTTTCCAAATTTGGTTGACCAAAGGTAACAAAGAGTAGAAGCGGTAACTGATGATTAAGCAAAGTTCCAAAAGTGCTTGTGTCATACAAATTTCATGGACCTCCCATTCACATGGCTTATAACGACTGTTTTGGACACCAATATGACCAACTATCAAAGACAAATTTTTCTCACTTAACAGGTCTCTTTACACTTCTTCAAGGCATTCTAGCATTTATACCTATAACAAAAAACTAATTATCCATCTCTTCATGAGCTATTAAATGTCCAGCACAAGTGAATACTCAGTAAAGGGTACCTTGGATCAAATCGCAGCTTGTCATAAGAACGAGGGCATTCATCAGAGCTAGAGTACAACTTTTTCAAGAAACTACAAGCACAAAAGACAGTCATAAGCAAAAATCAGAAAGGCCACACACAGGGTGAAGCAGTCTCACTGTTTTCAAAACTTATGAGTACCCAAGAATTTTACCAATGAAAGTATGTCCGCCCTCCGGTCCTTGGGATATGGAGGAAGAACAGCAAATCCCGAAGTGCATGTTTGTCCTCTTTGATATCTTGATCGAGGGAAGATGACACCCATCTTTTGACAACTCTTTCGCAGTGTCCAAAATCATTTTTGACAGAAGAGGCAAAAGCTAGCACATAGAGTAGAAAAACATGAGAGAAAGAAGAAAGGGAAAAGAAGAAAAACTGCCAGTGACAACTTCATCAAAACTCTTGAAAGACCACAGGTTCAATGCAGTTCCACTTAGAGAAAAGAAAGAAGGAAGGAAAATGCAGAGGAAATGGTTAAGTAAATGCCTTGTCTAGGCTAGACACCAAACTATAGTTTCTGAAAATCATTAAGCACACTGGCTTCAGGAAGATATTTAATAAAGAATGACAGAATTACTCATGTGCTAGGGTTTCCAAACCAACATATCAAGGAACTTTTCAGCTCCTCAACATACCCAATCCAAGAAGAAGCATAAAAAACGCCGCAATCTTCAGAGTAGGATTCATATGCTTCATTCTAACTCACCTGCCAGATAAACCAAACCCAACAATGAAAGCTTATCCAGTATTCAATGTCTCTACAGCCAAAATGATGTTTTTAAAAAAAAAAAAAAATCAAAACAAACATACTCCAAAAGCACAAGAAGTAAAATGTAAACAAAACCCCCAAATATATGTCCGGAAAAAGTGGAAAGCATAACATTACCCACTGACTCTTTTCAATGCAGGAACTGCAATTGGAAACAACAATTTGATATTCTAGCTATACATTTATATGTATATGTACGTAAGTTTTCATACTCATAAAACCCAAGCAACAACAACAACAACGAAAAACACAAATTCAAAGCAAAGACAACGAAAAATAGACAAAGCAGACTCACAGTGGCCTACCTGCCTGTATCGAGTGGCGGGATCTCGTGCTCATAAACCGTCTCGACCAGACAAGTTCTTCCCGATCGACTAGGCCCCAGCTACCAAGACAACACCCCCTTATGGAGAAAACAAATAAAAATAAAATAATGATAATAATAGTAAAATCAAAGGATCTTGAAACTTCTCTGAAACTTTTTTTTTTTCTGGCCAGCCAGAGATCTCTTTTCCTGGACTATAATTAGTTTTCACGAATCAATAAGGGAACTTTCTTGATTGGTTTTTTACATCAGCCGAGAATCTGTGTCCCCAGAGGAACACAGACCCTGACAAGTCTCCTTTATATATATATATATATACGCTTTTTTTCCTTATTTTCCCACCACTTGGTTGCGGAGTAGGCTGATGACAAGAGTAAGGCATTTAATTTATTTAGTTTTGACAGTGCCCTTGCGCAGCTTTTTAGTGGGGACTTTTACGTTTTAAAATCATTATTATAATTTAAATTATAAAATATATTTTACAATAGTTATAATTAAAATTTATTTAAAAGTTTATAATTTGTATTTTTTTTAAATAGTGATATTTCTTATGGTTATTTTAATTAAATATTAAATAAATTTTAATTAAAATTACATTAAATTAAGGATAAGAGCTTCATTTAAAAAAGTGTACAAAAGTGTGTAGATCGAAGTGGTGTTGTGTGCATACCACTTCCCATTGAAGTTGAAGTGGACGTCTAGTCCCGACCTCTCGTAATTGCTTTATAATAATAATAATAATAATAAATCTCATCATTTGAGTGAATTATTTAGAATAAGATATATTTTTTGGATTATAAATATAAAAAAAGGTAGGATTTTTTTTTTTGGAAAGTCACCCAATAATTCAAACCACTAACTAATAATAATTTACTAATTTTAATTTTTTATTATGTAATTTCTATATTTTAATTTTTTACGATGTAAATTATAAGAATAAAAGGATAATTAATTATTCATGAAATTGACCCAAGCAAAATCCTCTATTATTATTATTATTTTTTTAAAAAAGATCTTATATGGTTATTTATGGGTTAATTAACCCATAAAATAGCGATTTGTTTAAACCAATCCAATTTATTTATATGTGTTTGTATTTAAAAGTACTCACAATTTATATGCTTTCCCACAATAGGATATATTTATGATTTTCAGTCCATGCGTCTAAAATTCTAATTGCTGTGGGTGGTGGTGGTGGTGGATTCCTACCCACCAAAGACTTCATGGCTTCATCATGATTTATGTCAACGCCCCCATCAAAAATTGAACTACACACATACACACACACCCTCTGTAAACTATAACAACATTTAAGTAGAATTCCACACTTCACTATTTCAATCATCTTGGTGTAGATTGCGTAAATGTATTATCATCAAACTCATCGAAAGTTTTCAAATTTCTGAGAGAGTCCGCTTTAACATTGAATGAGAAATGAAAATCCATTTTCAACTTACAGTCTGTACAAGTATTCCCTCTAATGGCAATCACAAACTGCTACCTAGTTCAATTTTTGATTGAATGAAAGAATTGACCTTTTCTCAAGTTAGATGGCAGAGTGGCCTCAAACACTTCCTACTTCCTAAGATCACGGCTTTGAATCGATCAAGCCTTCGTGATGAAATAAATAAACATTAGATCTGAAATATAAATCATGCCTTCACTGTAATTGATTTGGCAGCATCAAGATGGTTCAGGCGACAGGTACCAAGAAGATACTCTGGGAGCTCCTCCTCAGTATTTGCCTGCACGAGAAACATGGAGAGAGCACACAAGCATGTAACATCATTAAGCAAATTCTGTGTGTTTTGTAGCAAATCCATAATTTACATTCTGGATAGCTTTTCATTTTTTCTGTTCTGACATTACGATAAGTGAAGTCTTCATAATGAGATAGTTCAATAAATCCTGCATTGCTATTTTTAATTTCAGTTGTTTACCTGTACCAAAAATGCCATTTCAATAACAAGATTGTTGAGATAACCAAGAACGAGACTGACTACTCCTCTAGCAACTGTTGATGATCCAATGTCGATACCAAGCTGAAGCATACAATGTTCAGAAGTCCATTACAATATACATAGAATACCAAGCTGAATCATACAACTTTCTGAATTGTCCAATTTTCATCAAGTAGAACAAATTCAACCACTTCGACTTAAAGGTAAAACCTAAGGAAACAGCAAAAAAATATTTCTTTCAAAATTTACCTCCAAATAGTTCTTCCCACGGAAATAATTAATTTCCAACGCTTGACCAATCAGACAAGCTTTCTTTCCCACACTCTGCTTAACTATCCATGAACCCTGAGAAATTGAACATGAACTGGCATGAAAAATGCACTCTGAATAGAGGATAAAAGGGGGCTATATGCATCACACCGCAAACTTACATCATAAAGGTTGATAGAGATCACCGGAGGCCTAATTTTTGTCTACTTGTGATTGATCAAGAATATTTCGAATTAAAACGATATAGAAGATGCAAATTTAATTAGCAGATAAGATGTAGCGTCTCTCCAGCCATTATAACCCAAATTGGAGAAAGCTGGAAACAGGGGGCTCTTCAAAAGCACAAACAATTTAAAAATAAAAAATCCTCTGTTTGTGGGGATTTTTTTGGGTAAATGGTATATTATTTTTGATACAGTAAGCTATTTGGTAACACTGCATGGAAGTGTGCCCCCAGGATCTAAACTTGCTGACATTCGAATTACTGCATTAAGCACTAACCTTGGATATGTATGGAATGAGCTTAAACCTTGAATTTCTATAAGCATCATCCCCGTTCACAAAGCTCTCTAGCAAAGGTGAATCTTCCAGAGGAGTATTCATCATATAATAAAGTGCTAGGCTATATGTTGTCAAACCAGGGACCTGTTTCATAGGGATATAATTTTATCATATTAACTGCTAAAGAGAAACAGTCAGAGCAGATGTGCTGTGATCAGGGTAACATAAATTTACCTGTATGTTTACAATGAAGAAGAATTCTGGCCCACCTTGCACTGCATATTTCTAAGGAGGAAAAGATTGTAAGTTTTCTTTTTAACCACAAACATTTTATGGTAGTGCAAAAGATATATTTATAGTTGAGAAGTACCACATATCTATAAAGAGTTAATATTAATGCACAAACCTGAACAATCCCCCCAGGACGCCCTCCAAGATCATCTTCTCGCTTGTCAGATTTTAGCCAGTCTGCAGCAACCATTTGCATCAAGGTGCCCTTTGCCTTAATCTAGAAAACAAAGTAGTAAAAAGAAAAATAGGAATGGATCTCTATGGATGCTGAACACATATAAGAGGTATTATATCTATAAAACATATCCCACATAAGAAGAAAAATTAATTTGAGGAAAAGATGAAGTAAAATAATATGTATCATATTTTTCATTTCTTTAAAAGGATTTAGTCGGTCTTTATTGCATGTGCTCAGCCAGGAACAAAAGCATAGACATTCAGCCTAACTTTGAAAAAGCATGCAACCAGAGGATGTGTTAGACAGTACATATGAGCAAAATTTTTTCCACACAAGTCTGGTTTATTGTATATGAAATGTTACTATTCACACCTTTTTACGATCTTCAAGATATTTCTTTCCCCGAATTAGAAAGGTAGAAGGATCTGACGCTGTCCAACTGCAAGGCAAAGTACAAGTCGGATCTTTTGCAAGAGTGGCTCCATAGCAGCATGGAATATTCTCTTCTCTAGTCATATCTTGCAGGTCAACATAACCTCTCTTCTGAACTGCAGGTTTAAAGAATCCATCAATCATCAATAAGACAATCCAGGATATGAAAGAGAAGAAAATGTAAAATGCTCTGATAAAAGCCACTATCTTTCATCACCAATCTAAAAACAACCTGATATTTCACTCCAAACAGAATTACCTGCAAGATCATGCAATTTTTTCACAAAACCAGCAGCAGAAAGCTTTGGATGACGAATATCCTGCAGGCATCAAGATGATGAGAATCAAGCGAGAAAACCAGATAAATTTTGGAAATTTTATTATTTCATAAGACGGAAACCAATTATAAAGGATGATTTCATAAAAAAGTAGAATTTTAAGCTGTTAAGGATTTGATGAACTAGGTCAATGCGCCTAAGGAGACAAGCTGCAGGGTAAGTAGTGAAAAAATAGCCAGCTTGAAAACAGGACATGTATGACAAATATGAAACAATAAAGATTAAAGTCAATCTGTCAATTACTTTTTTTTTTTAATTATGAAAAGAAGTTGTACTAAGACAAGAGGGAAAATAAGTGCAAAGAGGAGAATAGGACATCCTCCTTATCTATTAACCTATAAAAGCCAAACAAAACATAAGTGAACAATTACATGGGTTGTTAATGAACAAAGATGATCCTCTCCCAATTCCTGTGCAGCTCTGAAATGGCTATCTCAGAAAAGTGTCCATGTGTCTTGGCCCATAAGATTGCCAGACAAGTTGTTCTCTCCCACAACTCATGGAATGATGTCTCTCATTGAATTCCTTGCAAATCATAGGATCCATAAACCAGAGAAAATGGTCCCTGGCCACAATGGTTTCACTTTCTTTCTTACCCCATCTCTCTATATACATATAAGAAACTCTCAACTGTACGAGGAGTGACCCAGTTGAGACCAAACAAGCTAAACAATTTTTCCAAATCTTCCAAGCTAACTCACAATCTGTCAATTATTTAAGTACATGAAATATAGAAATGGTTAATACTGTTCTACCAGCATATAAATGCAGAGGTAGATGTTCAAGTGTGATAATGTGTATGTATTTTATCATCCACAAGAATGCTAAGTGTACTTGTAACAAGGATCACTATGTCTTTAAACAGGGTTTTGGACTTCAAGTGGCACGATATTGAGATACAAGTTGCCCCTGGAAGCAATGGTTTTCTATGACTAAGTTGCCATCTCAAAAGGCTTGTGATTAGTAACTAAATTTTCCGTTATGAAGAACAGCAAGAATAAATAGGTAATACCTGAGAGTACGTCTCTGAACCAAAATCAGATGTCCAACTATCATCTGACTGATCATTGTCTGATGGTTCAGGGACATCAAAGAATTCATCAGCAGCATCATTCAGACCAACAAGGCTTGAACGTTCTGAAGGTATCATGTCTGTTTCTTCACTTACATTTTCCCTAGTCTTTGCACCCTCTACCAATGTTCCAACATCAACCGTGCTATTCTCTTCTCCATGATGCAATCTAATATTTCTTGGTAACTCCCCTGAAGAAGGATCAGAGGAAGAATAACCTCCTTGTTTTGCCCTAAATAATTCTCGTAGTGCTGAAATTCAAAATCACGAATTAAGCGTCAGTACAAAAAGAACCATATGGTGAGAAAAGTGAACTAGAATATGAATATTTTTGGAATTCCATCAACAATCAAACAGTACCAGCAACTCTTCCAAGCATTCTTATAGTTATAGGTCGGGCAGAAGATGTTCGGAGATAAGATTTCCAATATTTCCAATCAATAGCAAGCATGTGCTTTACAACTGATTGTTTTCCTTGCTTAACAGGAGAGACAACATATCCCCCACCTGCAAGAGGGAACAAACTATTACTTCCTTTTATCCCTTAGCTATGTATGAATTCTTGAGGTTTGCTTCCCCCTAAAATTAAATTTACAATGTATGCGAAAATCTCGTGGAATTAGATGGTGATAACATGGCAAATGCTACATCATAACAATTCTGTTATATTGTTAAATTTCAAACAGAGCATGTAAAAGAAACATTCAATGCATAGGAAATTCAATTCTATTAGAAAAAAAATACAGGCATACATTACTTTTAAGGCACGCACGAACATAGCCTTTTTGTGGCGGACACTTCTTGTGAAACACAGAATGATAAAGAATAACTGCAAGCAAATAAACCACAGGAAGTTATTTTTCTAGTTCAAATGAATCAAACTACAATCTTCTAAAATTTTCGTCCAGAACATTAATACCATATGTTCCATCATCTTCCCTTCTCCAATAACGGCGCAACAAAAGATCTCTCCGTTTCATTCCCCTGTAAATTATGATGAGTCAAGGACATGAATAATAAATAAATCCAAACCCTTTGAAAGAAATAGATCATCACAAATTAAGATTCCTATCTGACCAAGGTAACCAGTCGCGGTATAACTGCTTGTGGATTATATCAGTATGACCATCCAGGTGTTCAACCACGCTGCCCTTGTAGAAACAGAAGTCCCATCTGCCAGGCAATAAACAAAGTTAAATTTTCGTTACCAAAAGTGTTCCATGTAATATGTTTTGAAAAAACAATAATGACTTCCAATAGGCTAGCAAAGGGACAGATTTTGAATGACGTGAATACTCTTCACCATGCCAATTCTTGGTGTGAATTCTCTCAACTTACATATAGTGTACTATAGCATAGTCAATTCTTCAAAAATTTCAATCAATGATGACCCTAGTCCACGAGTCACTGCAGCTTCACCTATGACACCTGTATGTATCAACAATAGGGTTGAAAATCTTCTCTTTGCATGCTCATTGGACCTTCCAACATCACTTCATGACCAATGCCAAAAAAGTGTCTTACTAACTCACACATGCATTCATGCATTTCACCTCACAATATCTCCCTATCTTGAACTTCTTTTTCAAATTTATTTTCAACGTCATGGAAGCGTACAGTTGCTCCTTATTCTTGTATCTAAAGGTTTCTTCCAAATCCTTAAATACTTCTATATCTTAAAGAGAAATGTTGGAATCCATTTGTCAAATCAGTATTCTGTTGCTGGAATCTCTGGAAGGGAGAGAAAAGTTCTATTTCAATCTGTCTTTAGTATGAAGATAGCATTGGCTACAATGAAGAGAGAAAAGTAAATTCTCAATGTGATATCCACTTCACCATCCTTCTTCTATATCATTAATCTACAGAAGAATAGGATAATTGTAGGATATTTATCATGCCAAGTAAACCATAACTGGTAGCAATGGATGAAGGATTTTCACCAAAGTAGTAAAATTTTGTTATACCTGCCAATATTGGGTGATACGTACCATATTGCTCAAACAATACTATGATACAAATGCAATTTCTTATCTGATGAAGACCAGCAGACAAACAGTATCCTGATTGGTACCAATTTTAGAAGTCAAATTGGACTATTTGACTATTAACCATGAGCTTTTGAGCCACATCCTTCCTTGTTGTAACTTTAAATTTCTTTTAGTAATTTGTTTCTAGATAAACCAAATCCGTACCTTTTTTTTTTCTAGAGTATCCAATCACAAACACCAAAGAGGGGTGCAAAATCATGTACAAAAATATTTACGTGTCTAGCAAAATATCTATAAGGTTCCCAAGATCTGACAAGAATAAAGAGAACGATCTTTAACAAAAAAACCTACAGCTGGAACCAAATATTCTTAATCCTATCAAGTTCGGTGCATCAAAAGCTCTCTTATTTCTTTCTTTCCAAGCCACCCAAAAAGTAGCAAGGGGGATAAGACCAACATGCTTTTTCACTTCATTGATCCCTTTCCACACCTAAATCTTCTCCCTTGCCAAACCAGCCATCTCCCAATTAATACCCAGAAGGCTATAGGCAAGGGTCCAAGGTCTACGCCACAAGGGGGACACACTCTGCATCCTTTTTGCACAGAAAATAGTCATTCACCAAAATCCTTCCCCCTCTATCAGCTTGTTCAATGTTAAAATGCATCCTTTAGCTGCCTCCCAATAAAAAAACCTATTATAGGCGATGCTTTAACTTTCCAAATTTTCTTACTAGGAAAGTCATTGCAAGTGTCCTCTCTTTTTACCAAGTAGTTATAAAAGGATATAATAGAAAAAATCCCTCTAGCATTAAGCCTCCAAATGGGGTAATCCCCGGCCCCATCAAGCCTAACCTTGAAGAGGGCGAGAAGAACTACTCCATACTCATTGACTTCCTAATCATTAAAATTCTTTGTGACCTCCACAAACCACTCATCATTCCCCATTATAAAAAGGAAGGATTCCTAAACCGATGCCTCATTATGTCGAGCAATAGCATAAATCCGGGGGAACTGGGGTTTAAGCACACCACCATCCAACCATTTATCATTGCACAAACTAAACCTATTACCAATACTTACCATCCAGTTAATGCAATTCTGGAACTTCTTTCTATCCATGAAAATTTTCTTCCACATCCCATTGCCATGAGGCTAGACGGGTTTCCACTGAACCAACCTCTATTCAACATACCAAACTTGGCATAAATCACCCTCCTTCAAATCCCTTACTTCACTCAAACCTAAACTTTTTATTTTTCTTTACTATTTAAGTAATTTTGTTTTAGGTCTACTTACTGTGCTTCCATTTTACACTAGCTTTCTAAGTTTTAATTTGATTTTTTTAATGTATTCTCTATAGTGGATTTTTGCATTTGTTTAAACATAAACAACCACGTATAATAGATTATAGAATAATGACCGACGCAAAATGACATACTGAGATACACCAGTACCAGTACCAGTACATACCGTTCCAAAAAAAAAACTGCTGGGATGGTATTTACTATATTGGTCTCTGCATCTCCAGAAGCAAGCTGTAGCGATGATGAACATTGCTTCAAATTTAAAGCATTGAGCAGAGCACCAAACTTACAATACAATCATATCAAGAGCTTGCTAAAAAGATTGGATGAATCCTGGTTAGACCATCAGTGACAATGAGGTTTGTCTTATCAATAATATCTCATTATGAGAGAATCCTTCAGAATTTTCCACCACTTGGTGGAAACAATTGCCATAAGTATCAGGAACAATTGATTCATGTGACCTATTTCTAATGTCTCCTTCAGTAGCTTCTATAACTACCCTCTGGACTTCGGTGTTGTCCACCCCAATAGGAGGTTCACTATAACGATCTTCATCTTTGACCCAATAAGTGAATTATGAAAGAAGTAGGAACTTCACATCCTCGGTAAGGTTTAAAGCAAACTTAGAAGAGTCCCTAGATTCATCAAGTGAAAAGGATAACGGAAAAATCAAATTATAAAATATGTTGTTGCTTTCCACATTCGATTCTTTATTTATGTAAAGTCTTTGAGTTCCAAGATCTTAAAATCCTAATAAGTAGAGTGGATTCTTTACTCCCGGCATGGTTGGAGCTCCTAAGATGCTGTCCTTGCTGATAGGCAGCAATGAGAGACTTTTTTTTTCTCTGGTACCATCTATATATAACTCACCTTTCTGCTCGACATATTCTTAATTTGATACTGCAATGCTTTATTTCTGACAAACATTCATCATTCTCAGATAGAAGAAACAAATAAGTAATAACCACAATGCAAACATACTCCTGAGATTTCACAGTACTAAGATCATAATTAAGCACAAATTCGTTGTCAATGTCATAATGGTTTAGATGACATAAAAGATCTGATGCGGAAAGAAAAAACTGACCCTGATCTTGAAGGTCCAAGAGACATAAGTGTTTGAAAAATGGCTTCTGAAGTTCCATCAACCACCCCTACTGCCATGATTGCAGGATGATCAGCCCACTGACAGAAAAGAAAAAAAAAACGATCAGGACGCAATTCCGTAGCACCATCAATTAGTAGTAAATTTTAGAAGCTACCAACCTTCCCGCGAGAATCCCTATCTTTTGCTTCTTTAAACAGCCGTAGACCTGCATGTCAGCCATGGTTTCAATCCTGCAATTTCAGCTATTTCTAGAAATAAACTGTCGATGTTATACCTACCATTTTGACAACCAAAGATTGTCCAAGGAGAAGGTGCAATAACATCAGATGTTATCGTGTCTATCTGTGTGGATGAATGAAGAGTCCAGTCAAGTGAATTACAGTAGTTTCCCCGAGTAGAACTGCTCAGTCTATGCACATGAAGACCTTCTCAGTAATCCAAAATTGATAAAAGGGGAAGAATATGAAGATTAAATTCAGTATCAGTATCTAACCACTACTAAATTTTCCAAATAAATTAACAGCTCAGCTGAAGCTGAATAGACAACAAAGAGGTGGAAGTTGACTTTTTTCAAGTGCCAAAACTACAAGCTGACCATATACTTAATAATGGGAACGTCTATGCTCACCTTAGGGATTCCCATCTGCTCCTTGAACAACCAACAGCATTACCTCCCGGTAATGGACCACCCTGCACACATGCATACTCATGAGCATCTTACATTGTTAAGAAGAAGAGCCCTTACTTATACTAACAAGATAGGGTAATTTATGACCTTTAAAGCTGCCTCCTTAAATGAATGAATCCATCTAGCCGCTTCCTCGGGACTGCTTGCTCCTAGCTATGATATATAAATTGAATGACTTCCACATGAAACAAATCTTTCAACAATAATAAAAAACGCGAATAAATAGTTACCCCACCTTAAGTTGATCACTATGATTGGAACTGTTATAGAGTGTAAATATAAAGAATACCTGCAAGTTTGATAATGAGTTGTCATTACGGACATATGAATGCCAAAAAGCCTTTCCAAAAAGCACGAATTAGAAAATATTACAGCCAAAAATCTAATACAATTAACATACTTTTCTATGTATGCTCTCTCTCCCATTGTCTGTGACCCGAATGCAGGAATCTATAACTGTACTTCTACCAGGATCCTGACAAAACAACCATAGATTTTTTATTAGTTCTTGAGCTTGGGAGTGTTGTTAAACTTAAACCATTGCACAAATAGATAGTCAAAGTATAGATAAATTTCCAGTTATAATAAACATGAGACAAGTTAGTACTTTCGTCTACTTAACATTATATACCTTAACCGAAAATTCAATATGCTACCACAATGAGCAGATCTAATACAAACATTCTAGTATACAAAGTTGGCTTTATTCCATGGGAATAAAAAGATATTTGATATGTAGCCTTCAAAATCTCTTTGGGTTTGTATACCTACAACAAGTTTAACACTTAGATATTGGTCTATTTCCTTGTGTTGCCAATCCTGAATGAACGGCAAAACAACTGCACCACCAAAGAAAGGAGGCAACATTCTTTATTTGGATTTGAATAGTTTTTGGGGTCTGAAATAAAAGTTAGTAGCATCATAATCCATCAACAAATGAAGCTGAATTGATGGTTCAAGTACTTTTATCTGATGGAGGAATCGAAAGATTTACGAACAATGCAAATAAATGCTTGAGTAATAATTTTCAAGATGTCAAAAAAGGAAGAAAACCTGGCTACATCATTCTCCTGATGCAAATAAATGCTCGAGTAATAATTTTCAAGATGTCAAAAAGGGAAGAAAACCTGGCTACATCATTCTCCTGCACGACTTTGCATAGAGAAACAAAAAGCACCATATACAGATAAAAAAGAAAATGGCATCTATAAAACCGGTTGTTTCAGACTAACATTTCAAAAAGAAATAAAAGAAAATAAAAGAAAATGGAAAAAGTTAGCAATACAACTCCTTTACATTACCTATATCTCCGTGATTACCATAATAAACAAGCTGACGCATGTTCCAAAAACAGGTGTGGCAAAAGGCGAATAAACGGTTATTTACAAAAATCTGACTAGCAGATTTTTCTTCCACTTTGGACAGAATAGTACACAACTATCCCTAGGCAGTAGAAATCCAACTCATTTATTATACCATTTTAGCACTACATCCTTCCACACCAAAATCCCTAAGGAAAAAGAAAAAGAAAAACATAGAGGGAAGCAAGACTTGGAATTCCAACTTCCAAGCAACTAATATCAAAGGAACTTTAACAACAGCTTGACATATTACACCTTTCCTCCATGGGAAATAATTAAAAAAAAAAAAAAAAAGAAAAAGAAAGATGAAAAACGGAAAGGTCCGATTCTAATTCAAACCAAACAAAGTTGTCACTTCATGTTTGGCTATCTTTGGTGTTTAACTCAAGGAATTACACCAGAAACACTGTAAATTACTCATCATTCTAAGTTTACTAAAAAAAATTTTGCACATACAGGTTACCACTAGAACACTAAAAATTCCAAGAACACATCTCCAATCCATTTCACAAAAGATTACAACATAGACGCACCTCAACTACATCTTACAACATATGCATATACGCACACATGTATATACGCGTAGTATAAACCCACATCAAAATGTAACAACATTAGAGAGGCAACAAAGCCGATCTTAAACAAAAGCAGCATAAATCAAGATTGTAGTCAGAAAACGTATACGTATATATAGAATCAAATTTTCATTCAAAGAGCAAGACAGACAAGAATCATATAATGAGAGAATTAAGCAAAGAATTACCTCAACCTTCGAATCGGGAATCGACTTGAAACTCCTGAGAAGATGATCTTCAAGAACAAAATATCTTTTCCTCGAGTACTGCAACCCAATCCGATTGGAGCGGATGATATGCAACCATCCCTCCATCTTCAACTCACTTTGGGACCCAACAGCCATCTCCCAAATTTCTCAACCGAAAAACAAAATCAAAACCCCGCCTCCTCTCCGATTCTCAGTTCTCCAAAACCTCCTCAATGTCTCATATGGAATATCCAATTCGACACTTAGCTTCTATATCATTTTCCAGTTCTCCGAACAGACACCAAAATTCGTATAGAGAATGAGATCAAGAACATGCAATAAAAAATTTCAAGAAAAGGCAATGGCGATGATAATGATCCACCGATTCCCGTTAGAGAGTCACGGGGAATCAGCTTTAGCAATTGAAAGATTAGGTTCGAGTCTTTTGGATTTCACGTCTCTCTTCCCTCTCTCTCTGCAATTTCTTTTGCAGTTTTCTCTGCGCGTTAAAGAAAACTGAATTTGGTGGTATGTGAGACAAACATCGCCAGGCGAACGATATATGAAATAGGTTGAAATTACTTTAATGCCCTTCCCCTTTTGATGTGAAAAGTAAAGAAAACGCGGCCACATTACATGATTTATTATTTCAATTTTTTTTTTTTTAAAGTCAATATTTTAATTTTTCAATTTTTTTTCAAATAAATAAATATATATATATATATTTAGAGATGTGTATGTATGTGAAAAATGATAGGATAGGGGGTGTAAAGAGTGTATTAGAGGTGGGAAGTAGGGGAGAATCTACCTGGGAATAAAATGAAATTATTTAGTCAGCAATAATATTTTTTTCTTTTTTTTTAAAAAAAAAAAGTAATAATTGATGGTTTCTTTAGTAAGACAAGTAAAAATGATGATATCATTGTACCCATTTTCCAGTTACGTATCTTTCATCATTAAAAACATATATATATATATATATGTATATAATTTATTTTATTAAAATAATTATTATTAATAAATGTATGCATATTTTTTAATTAAAATATTTATGACGTATTAAAAAATTTTGAAAGAGGTTGCGTTTGGAATGGTTGATTGGGGGGATGGGCATGATTGGTGGGGGAATGAGCTGTTGGTTGGTGAGACGATGAAAGTTGCACTCTGCTGATTTCTCCTTTTTACCCTCTCAGCTATCCATCTAAACTATTTCCTAATATATACATATAATATATATATATATATATGTATATATTGGTAACTTCTAGGGCCGGCCGGTCACCGCGTACGGTGGCTGATATATTTGGAAGGTTAGTGACAAGAGAAGAATAATTTAGGGGAATATTTGATTCGAACGAGTCTCACCTCAATCATTATTTTCTACTAACCCGAACTCTTCTCACTCCAAATTTGATCATTTTTTAGTAAAAAAAAAAATAACTCCTAATTGATTTTAGATTGGATCTATCATGCGCATCCGAGCGAATCTAGCGGTTCGTGCTCTCAACTCTAATTATTGTTAATTATTATTTTATATATTATAAATTATGACATATCTTATAAATTATATCATATATTATAATGTTTAAGTTTTATAATTTAGTTTTAACCAACTCACAAAGAGTTTCAGTAGTTTTAGTAAACTGTGATGTGTATAGATAAAAGTGATATTATGTAACGAATTAAAGTTTGATGAGTTATTATACATATAATTTATTAAAAATTCAAATTATTATTTTTTTATTTTAAAAAATAACATACATCGTACTACAACCTCCTATAAAAATTATATAAAAATGCATGAACTATCTCGAACTTACAACATATTACAAATGATTTTTAACACCGATTTTGAATTTTTTTAGTATTTTTAGATTTGTGAAGTGTGTTTTAATCTTTGCACATAAAAATTCAGGAAATCGGGGGACCGCCAGTAGGCGCAGTAAAAAGTTTGGTGTTTCGGACACCGATTCGAGTAAGAATCCATCACCTTATTTTCTGTTATGTAATTGAAGTTTAATAATCGATAATATGGTATTTTGTGTAATTTAAAAATTTTTGAGAATAATTATATGTTACTAATGGAGTCGAAACCGGTTAGTTCTTTATTTGTCATGTTTAACTGATTGTTAAATTTACAGCTTTAAATATATGATGATATACTGGAATGGTTAAATGATTCAATTGTGTTTTCTTAACATATATATTGTTTGTCTTGTGTGATTTATAATTGATTTGTGAAATTAGAAATTAATACGCAAACAGAAAATTGTTTGGTAATGTGAATTAATGAATGGTAGCCTTACTGGATATATCGGGAGATGGTAGACGAACCAGATACATAGGAAACTCTACCGTAAACGTTGTCCCATACTGGACGGTGTATCAAATAATGGTATTTTTTACGCTCATACCGGACGGGGTATGAGGACGGTCCGATTCACCCTAATACCAAACAAGATATTGAGGGATGATATTTTTAGCACTCATACTGGATAGAGTATAGGGATGGCCAGTTAGTTGACAATATTAGATATTGGTTCACGTGTAGTGAGACATCCTTATGGGCCTCCAAGGATATCAGTAAGCAAATAAAAAAAAATTTGTTGTTCTTACTCACTTGAATATAAATATCATAATGTTATTTGAGTTACTGTCTCTATAGATCGATTTTAAAAATTTCGCAATAGTATATATATGCAATAAATAGTTTTCCTTATGATAAATGAATTTACTTAAATCAATAGCTCCAGTGGTTATTTTTTAATTTTTTATTAACCTCTAGTTTCTGTATCGATGAGTAGTGTGATATTCTTACTAGACTAGTGTAACTCATTCTTTCATTTACTATTTCATATCAAGAGAACCAAAACTTGGATCCTGATCAAAAAGAGGGTTTGAATAGTTCACCATTCATACTCCATTCCAAAAGATAGTGAAGGTCGTCCTATAATGCTCAGTATATTATTTTTTGTTTATTTCTTTGATTTTTATTTGTTCTTTTAGAATAGACATTCTCGTAACCCTATTGGACATTCTAAATTATTGTATAAGGAATGTAAACCCTAAACTCTATTATTTCATTTTGTATTTAATTTATAACTTTATTTCCTTTTAAGTTCTGTGCATTTACAAAGGTTATACTTTAAGGTTTAATATTTATATATATATATGTAATAGATACATTCTTCCTACTTTATTTATTATGTTTTTTTTTAAATAAGTAAATAATTTATTATTTCTTCTTATACTATAATAATTTAATATTTAATGTGATTTAATTACAATACATTGATAAGGAATAAACTTATGTAACTAAAATAAACATTACAATAATGAGGCAGGAAATGAGGTTAGAAGTGGTTGGTTATAAGTTAATATCTAATAGCTATGGGGTACCAATTTAAAATATATAAATTAAGTATAAATGTTTTTGAAAACTTATATTCTTATTTGATATTATTTAATATTGATTAATGTCATGTTCATACCATCCATACTAATCATAATAGTTGAAAATAATGCATTAACCATTGTTATTAATCAAAGATCCCATTACTAACTACCACTATAGTAATATAATGATTAATATTTTTATACTTTGTTTTAAAATTATAAATTATAATTTTACTTATGATCGATAAAGTTTGTCATTTTTATGAATATATTACGTATTATTGATGATTAATATATAATATTTAATTCAATAAAATTAAAAGTTTAAGCCATTAATGTACTAGTGAATTGTGGTGATCAAATTATGTTCAATCACAATAAATCATAATATATTAAAAAAAAAAATATCGTGTGGTTATAAATACGTCGAATTATTATTATTTTTTTAAAATTAAAATTATTATATATTTATTTCAGAATAATAACATATAAAAAAATGTTATGTTTGTAACAACCCAAAATGAAATTATAACGTAATTTAAAATTAATAAAGATAATTTTTTATTTTTTATTTAATTTAATTAGAGTAAAAATTGAAGGAGGATAAAATTAAAAATAATTTTAGAAAAAATGGGTGAAATTTTGGGTTATGGGAGTATTTTTTAAAGAAAAATTGAAAACTGGAGGTCAAAATATAATTTAGGAAAGTTTTGCCACCTCAGGTGATCCGCGTGCCCGCGATCGAATGACTCAGATCCATTCTCGCGCGCACGGAGGGCCCAGATGCGTTCCCTCCCCAAACGCGATCGGATGGTCAGATTTGAACGCGATCAGACGGTCCAGATTAGATCGCGATAGACGGTTCAGATTGGATCGCGATGAACGGTTCAGATTCACTTTTTATTTAATCGTGATCAGACGGTTTAGATCAAATGCGATGGACAACCCAGATTAAAAGCGAACAGATATAAATAACCCTCACCGACACCAAACCCTAACCCTAGCCGCCAGACCCTTCGTTAGAGAAGAAGACCCGGCCGCTGGGAAGGAGACCACTGCCGCCCGCCGCTACACTTGAGCCATTTCCGACTGCCAAAAAAGGTTGGCCAGAGCAAAACACCGAACCACAATGTGAACTGGAGGAGCCACCACACCAGAGCCCCCCCCCCCCCCCTCCTCCCCGCTAGTGAGTTTTATTTTTTTATATTTTTTTGACCGACTGAGGTACTTTAACGTATTTTCTCGCATGTATTGATGCAGAATCGGCCGAATTCGACCGAAAAAGATCAAAAATAGCCGACCCGAGGCGGACCGTCATCGCAGGCGGCGGTGCCGTTACCGGAGCATGGCGGAACTGCTGTGCCGGAATTTTAAAATTGGCCAAGTAGGCCCTGAGACTGATTATGAATTTGTTTGGGATATTTATAGGCACTATTAGCGCGTTTTAATTCTCGAATAAAATTTCAGGGAACCCGGGAATCGCCTGTAGGTGCAGTCGAACAACTTAATTTTTCGGGTATCAAATCAAGTAAGGATCCCTCACCCTATTCCCTATCATATAATTGAAGTCTAAATAAATAATAATATGGTATTTTGTGCGAATTTAAAAAATATGCATAATTAATTACGGATTGCTAATGGAGGCAGAACCGAAAATTATCTACTATTGTTTGTTAATCATTTTTACAGTTTATAAACATGATGATATCTTATTAATTTATTTTATGGCTCTGAATGCATGTATGGTTTATTCTATGTGTTTACGGCTGAATTTGGAAAAATGAAGGTCTAACGGTAAAAATTGTGTGATTAAGTGAATGGATGAAACGACTCCTTACTGGATATCCTGGGAGATGGTGAACAGACTGGGTATATAGAAAATCTCATCGTGAACGTTGTCTCATGCCATACGGGGTATCGAGATTTGGTAATTTGTTGTTCATATCAGACGAGGTATGAGGACGGCCTGTTTCACCCTCATACTGGACGAGGTATTGAGGTTTTGTAATTTAATGCTCATACTGGACGAGGTATGGGGACGGCGTATAATGGAGAATGTTAAAAAATTGATTCACATGTAGCGGAGACATCCCTATGAACCCCCATAGATACCAACAGGCTGGTAAAAAGAGTGAT